ATGTGCTGGTCTAATACATACACATAGCTTTATTGACATGTGAAATGTTTGTCTGAATGATTTCATACTTACATGGTATGATGAAAATTCACTACAAAAATAGGTAAAAAGTCAAGTCAGAGATTTTTAGCTGGAGAAAATAAACAAAAGTCTACAATTTTCCCTTCCCCTGAAGTTAAACTAACTTCTTGTGCCAACAATAACACAAGAGAACTATATCAACAGAATTATATCAACACTTCTTCTGTTTCAATATGAAGTTCAAGCATCTGTTAACAACTTATTGCTTGTTGTTGTTGTTACTTGGCCAGAACTTTTATCTGTATATAACCTATTCATGCTGGAGTTCACTTTCTTTTCAATACTTATTTACTTTTCCCACACTCTGCTTCTAATTTTCTCTCTTTCAACCCACAATAATTTGACATTTCTTATAGGCCCTTTTGTCATGGACAGTTTTCTCCTAGGATCCTAAGTCTCTTCACAAATAGCTTCTTTACTAAACCACTTTTTTTTTTCTATGCTAGATGTTATAGCAACAGAGAGGTAGTATCCGGCAAAAGAAACATGGACAGATCAATTCATTCACAGAAGAAAATGCAGAAACACTTTGCTGAAATCATGCATTTTAGGACTTTGCAAACAATGGATGAGAGGCATTGAATAAGTATATTAAGAAATTTTATAAAAATCAGTTTACTCACAGTGGGAGTAAAAAAGCAAGCAAGCAAAGAAACAAAAGATCTGTTACTGCCCAATCCAGCTGATAGGGCAAGGGTTGCATTTTTTTTTTAATACTGCTCTTATCATGAAGATGACAAAAACTGAGATACTCCTAATTCCTTGAAAGTTATAACAAAAGAAGGGTACAATTGATTGGACCTCAGAACTGAGACAGGATTAAACGTATCTGGTCTACACCAAGAAGTTTGTTCAACCTGTTCCGAACAGTCAGGGAGAATCTTAAATTCACCCTGGGTTGCTATTGAACTATCTGATAAGTTAGAGAAGTTACCAAAGCTGCTTCATTTAATAACACTGTAGCACTGTAGCATCTAAGTAGCCTGGCATCTATGGACTCGGGCAACTAGAAACTGCATCCCATCATGTTTCTCATTACTCAGTCAAAAAGACAAGTGTACCCCCCTCTCTAGCTGCAGGGCTTTTGAAACCACCTGCAGGATGGGCATCAGCATATAGATTTTTCTTATCACAGTGGAATGCCTTGCATTTTGATGCCACCTCCACTGCATGATACTCCCCTTTTTCCTTCCACTTCCCAAAACACGAAACAAATACCCCTTTGACATTTCTACCTCCCCTTTGACAATCAGCCCAAACAGTCTAATAAGTACCATTAAGCAACTTGTAAAGAAACAGCAGTAGACCAGCAAGCTCTCCTTGACTTGATTCCAGTGTCTGCCTCTGAAGACACCTATTGACTATCCCTTCATCCTGTTTATTTATTTAATTTTTTTTAAGCAACTACACCATCAAGTTGGTCAAGATACAGTTCTGATACATTGAGTCTTCCACCTCTCTCTGCTCTGTAAAACTAGACAGGAGGTCCTGCAGAAGCACATCCTTTGCACTTTACAAACCCGGGAGCAGACCCCCATGTGACAGGACTGAATTAATAGCATTGATTTAAGCTTTAAACATATCAAAGGTAAGCAAAGGACGTACGAAGCAGTAGGTATGTCTCTCAGAACAAAGGCAAAGAAGAAAAATACATGTATTAACACTGGAAACTCGCTGGTGCATGCAGCCCTTGCTGTGGGCCTCAGAAAGGAGAGAGACTTCTTTGAATATCTGCGTTACCATCTCTGATATGAGCATGACATGTACTGTGCTGAAGTAGCTATGTTGCAACCAGCATCTGAAATCACTATATTAAAAGTAGTTCTGGTGTGTCAACAGCAGGCTGCACGCCCTTGTTAGAGAGGAGGGGCTGGCTGAAAAAGAGAAGGCAAGCTATCAATATTTACAGAAAGCTATTTGTCATATCAAGAGTAAGTTAGTTGCTTGACAGTAATAGAGAAAACAGTCATCAACAGTGGACTCAGCAACTTGTATACTTGTTAATGAGTACTAATAGCAAATCAGATTACATCAGAGGGATTGCAGCACCTGCAGAAACTGTCAGACATTTCCACAGCCCCATAGCAGATCTGAGTATGATGCTAGAGCGAAGAAGAAGGGAAAGGCAGAAATGTAGGTTGGCCTTGGCTGGAAAACACGAAGCTTCTTCCAAAGTTTCCATGCAAACTCATCTCAGTTACCTGTGGTTCAGTACAGCCACATACATTTTACCAAAACATTTAATATTCAGCGCACGTGGAATAACACACCGCTTTTTAAAGCAGCTGTTCAGTGTCATGACCCCCCCCAAGCAACCTTTCAGGCACCCCGTTTATTCACGCAATGTGACGGTGCACAGGCCCCACGAAGGGCAGCCACGTGCTTCACTGTTTCGTGTCCACAGTCCCTAAATGGCTGTTTGTGGCCTGAACGTGACACCTCACTGAAGGCTCAGCAGAAATGAATCTTTTTCTGCTCTCTTTGCCTGCTCCTCCAGCGAAGAGCTGAAGTCAAAACTCAGTATGAAACACTCCCAGGCTTCGAGCTCCCTCTGCAGTATTTCTCCAGGAAACGTCTTGCCTCAACAGAGCTGTAAATTATTTGGTTAGGAACTGGATCATTCATAGCACTTAAATTTCTGGTAAACTTCCATTGAAATCTGAGCTGGTCTAATAAATCATTTTTATTAAGTTTTATTCTGATGTGGAGTGGTTATGATCTGTTGACCTTGGCAAATACTTTCTTTGCTAAAGCCCCATGAACTGCTTTCAAAAGGAAATAACTGGAGGAAAGCAAGTTGCTGCAAGTTTCATCTGTGCACATGTCGAAGTAGAGTTAATGGGTCAGCTTCAGACATAATAAAGGGGACTACTAAATCACTATGCCAGACATTAGGAGTAAGTTTAAAAGCAGTAATTTATATATTAATTAAACGATGATTTGTATCTTTTAGTTCCATGTTTGTTACTAATTCAGACTCCCTTGGAATACACTGACATATGCAATTGCCTTCACACCTCCTCACATTTCAGTGCTGAATCTGGACACTAAGATCGTATGAAACTATTAAAATCTCAGTTGATGTTGCTTTCAATTGCATGTTAAGGGATAGAGAATAAAGGTATAAATTACACTGATTTAGATTTCCTTCATGTAGATTTGTCTCTGAATTTGGCTAGCTGCCATCACCAGGCACAAACTACCCACCATGTGATTTGGTTCCTCCTGTTTTGTAGTGTCACCTTCCTTGGCAAAATTAAAATGAGGTTTCGTTTACCTGGATTTTCTACTTCTGATATTGTTACTAGGGCTTACATCTGCTTTCTAAATTAATCCACACACTGCAAATACACTTCTCTTTGGCATCACACTACCCTTTTTATTAATGTTCTTTCCTTCAGTTTAAAGTAAAGGAAGAAAATACATCTCTCAACTCAGGCACATATCATCCCAGCTCAAATTCTTAGTGCCAATTCCTCTTGCTATGTACTTTACCATGAGCCCCTGCAACAGGTTAATTCCCTCCAATTTGCAGTATTTAAGGACTAAACAAAAAACTCTCTTTTAAACAGATTTAATATTTTACTTGAAAGACTGGGAGTGATATGCATGTTGGCTGCTTTTTAAGGTTGGTGTGACTAGATGCCTCATTATCTTTCTTGGATGAGGAACATAACAGGGTGGGGTGGAGGCTGATGGAAGTCCCAAATTTATTGTGAATTTTGGTATTATCTGGTTAAAAATTTAAAAAAATATATATTGCTAATGATATAGCAAAAGAAATTATTTTAAGGGAATGCTTACTTTAAGGAGATGAAGCTGCCCAATGTTCATATAAGAGGGTTATATGGGAAACAAATCTTGTATTCAGTATGAAATACATATTTTCTTGTATCACTGTGTCCATGCTGTGGATACACAGATGGGCTTCATGTGTGTAGCCAGTTCCATATATTGGCTTTCTTCATCATGTGCGAGACTGGCTCTGTGTAACAAATAGGATGCTGAAAATCTAGCGGGTTTATCTAAGGAGGACTTGTGCCTGGGAGTTTTAGAAATGCTTTGGGCATAGTTGTTCCTCACATTGGAATGTGAGACTGGAGAAGGAGATGTGGAAGATGGTAACTCTTTAAGCTCGTGCATCTGAGACAACAATCTTTTTATGACAAGGACCATAGGTCTGTGTGCTGCAACAATATTTAATTGAAGGCTGTACTGGAGACAATTTAGTAATGGGGTAGCTTGAAGAATCAGCACGCCAGCATTCACCAAAGGAACAAGGAAACATCTGAACCACCTACACATGCTGTAACAAAAAGCCATGATGTTTTTTCTGAACTTTGGGGACCTACAGAACAGTGGGATGAACTTGAACTTTCCCATTTAAGAGAAGTTCACCACCTTTCACCTTGTATGAAAATTGCCTTTAAAATACAGGGACTTAACATTTGCTCTCTTTCTTCCCTTTTAAAGGTCAGGAGTTATTTTATGTCACAACTCATCTTTGTGAGGAACAAAGCCCAGGCTGCAAGCTCCTTGTTTCCAGGGAAAGGTGGAGGATGGTCTCCAGAAGTGGCCGAGTGGCAAGTTGTCTTGCAGGGAGGGCAGAGGTTGTTTTCCTGGGCAGTGCCAGGGACTGACACCATGGGAATAGTGCCTCTTTGGGAGCGGGGCTCTGATGTGGAATCTTGCTCTTCTTCGAGCGCCCTTTCATCCTTGTACTGCTCTCCTTTGCGCAAAAAAACCCTGAAGTAACCCTTGTAGGCATAGGTGCTCACAAGAAATCCAATAATTCTGTATTAAACGGGGAGCCCACAGTTCCCCCTGACTTGGGGCTCGGCCAAGGC